GTCGCTCATGCTTTTTTTTTCTTTGTTGCCCTTGGTGATGTAGTACACAGAAGGCGCGTCGTTCCACTATGTGTCCAACAGTCCATTTCAATTGGTATCTGCCCTCAATGACTTTTTGAAAAGCAACCATTTCCCCCCTGGCAGCATGCACCTGCGTCTGGACGGCAGCCTGTTGTCGCGCCTCGTCGAGATCCCGGGTCGTGCCAAGCGCGACGCGATCCTGTCCATCATGGCGGACTTTCCGCGCCGGCAATTCATCCTCGTTGGCGATTCGGGCGAGATTGATCTTGAAATCTACACCAAGATTGCCATGGAGAATCCCGGCAAGATCCTAAAGATCTTTATCCACGACGTCACCACTCCATACAGGCGGCAAAAGCAGCAAAACCAACAAAAGAAACCCAGCTTTGCCTCGGATTTGCTGCGCGCCAATAGTCTGTCGTCGTTTTTGCCAAAGCGCCGCGGATCTCTGCCCTTTGGCAATGACGACGGCGACGACGGCAGTGTGCCTGCTCTCGCCAATTCCATCAGCTCCTCGTTTTCGTCCTCGTCCTCGTCCACGACCACGCCATTGTCCCCAACAATCAATTCTTTATTAACCTCGGAACCCGAGACCGAAGCTGAACCCGATGCTGAAGAGCTTTGCGAAAAGATGGCCGAAAGGTTACGCAAAGCGCGCGACCTCGTGGGCGACGATGTTGAAATTGTGCTCTTTACTAATGCTTCGGTGCTAAAGGAAGACAAGACCATCCAAAAGTCTTTATGGCAGCATTGGGACGACCAATGCATCGATACCACTATGTAATATGGCTAATTTTTTTATGTATTTTCCCCTATGTATGTATTCGTATACCAATTGTGCGCGAGAAAAAAACCATTATAGAGACTCGCACACGCCCTTTTTTTTTTTTTTGTTTTTTTCCCATCTTCCCATGACATGAATAAAGTTTCCCCTCTCTTTTGTATGCATCTTTTTTTTTTAAATCGCCTGATTAGATGATCTCTCGGCTGATACTCTGATTGCAGCGTGATACATATGGCTTTTTTAATGCAAAATGGAAGATGGTCATGGGTCCCACTTTTTTTTCACTTGTTCCACATTGTCCTGAGCATGCGCAAGATGGTCTTGAGGGGAGGCCGCGTGTCTGGCAGCATGGGGTACTACCAATGACAAATGGAAATGAGAAACCAGGGCTCAGACAATGGAAGGATGTTGCCTTTTTTTTACCTGAAGTTTTGGGCTGGGTTTGATGGGCTCGCCATAGAGAAAGCAGCGAAACACGTGGCTTGAAAAGTAGTGTGCAGACAGGCGCTTCCACAGCAGCATGTATTGAAAAAAGATGGCGCCAAAAGGGACGGGTGTGTTTTTTATCCGCAGCAATGTGCCGCGCAGAGGCGCTTTCTCGTCAGGCAGGCGGAAACGCACGCGTTTTGCCGATGAATTGAGCGTCGACAGGTCGTGCAACGTCTGACGCAGCCAATGGTGCTTGTACAGGAACGTGTCGGATGGAAACACGTCGAATCGAATGCCACCTAAAAGGCAAAACAAAAAAAGGGGGGATGAGGGACTGTCACGTCGCGGCAAGAATGAGCCTTTTACCAGGCACGCGATCAGGGTCCTTGACGCGCAGCATGATGGCAAAGAGCGGAAAATGATTGAAAAAGGCAAGCAATGTCTCCATGATCGCCTGCAAAAAGATGACACAGATGCGCCCCTGAAACAAAAAAAGATGAGACGCGTTCCTTTTTTTTCCATTTTTGCCTTTTAAAGCGCCTCTTACCAATGCAAACGTCAGATAATACAAAAACACAGTGGGGAACAGAAACGTCAGCAATGTAAACAGACAGGTTCCGAGGAGCAGTTGGTCCAGGTCATAGTCGCAATTGTCGATGCGATGACGCAACATGTTTCGCTTCTTTCCGCGGAACAGATTAAACAGCGCGTACACAGTGACGAGCTGCCAATTAAAGATACGCGCCGCGACCATGTAAAAACAATACAGATGCATTGTCAACACGGCAAGCATGTCCGACAGCAGTGCAATCACCATGGACACGCCAAAGATGCCCGAATACCCAATCATCCATAGGATCCGCGCCGTCCACGGCTCCATGGCGCGCATGCACTCGACCCACAGCTGGATCAGCCATAAAAACAGCTCACTCAAGAACCGTCCAAGCTCAATGTTCAATTTGAGACCCGCAGGCGTCTTGAGGAACCAATACATCATGGACGTCAGCGAGTCGACCGTATAGCCCTAATCAAAAAAAACGGGGTTGTAAAAAAAGCGTACATCGCATAGAAATGAAGCTCTTACCTTGAGCGTTTCGTGCAGTCTCTGGGACACCTGGTCGCAATTGCCCATCAGGTACGATCCGACCGCAACACCAATGATGATGTCGTTGGCCACGAGCCACATGCTATTATAAAAGCTGAAAAAAGACGTGTCAATTTGGGGTTTTGGGTTTTTACGTGCCGTTTACTTGATGTAATAGGCGCGTGCTTCGGCGGTGTTGGCCCAATTGCGCCGCCTTAGCATCACATATTGTCTTGGCCAGAAATAAAGCTGCTGTAGCCGCAGATCGATCTGCTGTCCTATGAAAAAGTGTCGGCAAAGGCACACAAAAATCGGTTTTTTTTTTTTGGTTTTTACCTGCTGCCGAGATGTCCTTGAAGCTCACTTGTAATTTGGGTATCCTGAGCGCCAACACGTATAAGATCATCTCGACTACGGCAAACACGACACAGCCCAGGGACAGGCACAACCCCACCATGACCTTGCGAGGCCATTGCATGGCCCATGCTAGCCACATAAACGGCACGCGGCCAAATGCCCAAAAATCACGCGCCCCAGACTCCCGCTGCTGCCGTTCCTGTTGCTGCAGCATCGCACGGATGCCTTGTTCTAGGTAAAAAGACGAATTGATCTACAAAAATGGGATCAGCGGCGCCCATTTTCGCAAAAAGCACACAAAAAGGAGCATACCTCTGCAAGCACCGGCGCCAAATGAGTGGGGGGTTCCTCCTGTGGCATGCCTAGGATGTCGCGGCCATTGTGTACTAGGCATGCCTGATTCTGTCTTGTCACTTGTTCGGTGGTGCTACTGATGGGCGCCTTTTTGCGCCTCGAAATATCGAGTGGCAGCGGCTCAAGTCCAAAGAATTGCAGCCGCTCCGGATTCGGCTGCTCGTAGAATATAAGCTGATACGATTGCATGCGGATTGGAGCGCCTTGCACGGACAATTGCCTAGAAAACACAAAAAAAAAGGGGGGAGATTGATAAGCTACGACGCGTTTTTCGAAGTGATTGGACGCGACTGGACGCGATTTCCGCCGATTTGACGCGATGCGTCGCGCGTCTGAGATGTCATACGTTGGTATAGGGAGATATTTGTCGGACAGATCGACATTGAGCCAGTAGGGCGCATTGGATGGCGTGTGCGGCGTGCGCGCTAGCTCGCCTAGCACCGACGGCGGGCCGTGGCACACGTTGCGAATAAGCCGCAGGTTCGTATCCATGTCGTCGGCGCAGAACTGGTCTATTAGTCGCGTCAGCGCGTCGAGCTGCATAGAGGAAAATGTCAAAAAATGATAAAACGTGCATTCTTGCCCTGTCGGTGGCAAAACGTGGGGCCAAAACGTACCTCAATGTCGCTGATCACGGCCGCTACGCAAAAGGTCAACGGCTGATGGTGCCATCCAACCAAGTAACCCTGACGCACCTTTGGAGAACTGAGATGGTACGGCCAATATATGTCGGGTATGCTGCCGTTGACATTCATCCAAGGGGTCACAAAAGAAAAAAAAAAAAGAAAAAAAAAAGGAGGCGAAAGCAACCAGTGTGAAATGAAAAAGCGGCGGAGTCCAATGCATGCTCAGCGCGTCCGAGCGCCCAGTACACGAAAAACAAGGACATTTCGCGATAAAAAGACACCCCTGACCCCAGTTGCGCGCCCGACTCTTGCTTTTTTTCCACGACTGTTGCTCTCGTTGTCTATGGCTGGGGGGCTGGTCATACTTTTTGGCGTCTTTTCGGATTTATATCGTCAAGGAAAGGAAAATCGCACGTGTCGCGCAATTGGCACGTATTTTCATTAAACCTTTATGTTTCTTTTTTTTTTTTTTTTTGCTGTTCAAGTTCTCCAGTGACATGCTTTTCAGTGTTTTAAACTCTATCTTCTTGCGTTGCGTAGTTGTTGAGAAAATTGGCATGTTTGCAAGAAATTGGCCCTTTTGGCCATTTGCTCGCCTTTTTGCCCATTTGTTTGATCCCGAGCCAGATTTGAACTCAGATGAGCTGGATCAACACAGGCATCCGAATTGCTGGATGCACTCCACAGCAGACTTGTGAAGTTGAAATCTGGCTGTTTGTGCGTCTTTTGCCCATTGGCAGCTTTAGTATCAGAGGCACGGTTCTGAAACTTTGTATTTACAATGAACTCAATGTTTCCCGGCTTGTGCATCTTGTGCGTCACGGATTGATCAAGCGGTTGCCTTAAAATTAAAGATTTTAAGCGGAATAATGCTTTCCTACATATCAAGGTCGTCGCCAATACAAAATCAAATTGACTAACAACTTGTGTGAGCGTCGCGTGAGCCAAGACGCACGGTGTTGGAAGCAAAGGAGCACGCAGTGGCGTCATTGCCACAGAGAGTCATCAGCGGACCTTCAACAATCGTATATTGTACAACCCTTGCCTTTTTTTTGTTTTCAGCCAGGCACATAGGCACACTAGGGGCCACCAAGAGCCCATGTGGCCAATTGGATGGTTGAGCAAAGTTTAACTGTGATACAAAGTGTATGTAGGGCGCACGGCCGTTTCTTTATGCTCATTTTGCTAAATGCGGGCCAATTGACTCCCTAAACGCCTATTCAATAACAGTCAGCTCCTTTGGTAATACCTTTCTTCAATCGGGGATGAAATTCAAGCAATTTTAGAAAAAAAAATTTTTTTGAATTGACACAAGTAGACATCGTCTGAGAATTTTTCGTAAATTGGGGGATTGGCGCAATTGGTAGCGCACCTGATTCCAGTCCAGGCGGTCGTCCGTTCGAGCCGGGCATCCCTCACGTTCTTTTTTGCATTTTTTTGAATTGCTTTGTGTAGCCATGGCAATTTGGATTTTATTTTTTGCAATTTCAAGGTGATCTTTTTTTTTTTTGCTGGGACTATGGATGCCGTAGTAGCTAAATAACATGCTTTTCGCTTTTTTTTTTTTTTTTTTTTTTTTGCCTATCATATGCGATTCTTAGGGCGTGCATGTAAAGGCTTTAAAACTGTGGAAACAGGCAAACTGGGCCGTTTTTTGCACTTTGGCACCGATATCCATTCACATCCCCATCGTGTCTCTGTTGGCATTTTCTACGACTCCAGTAGTACGTATTCGACATTATTGCATTCACGGCTGCCTTTTACATCATGTCGAAAACACACACACACACAAAAAAAAAAAAAAGGGGGGGATTTTGACGAGTGCCCGTCGCACGGCCACGCCATCAATGCTGGCAACCTTCCTTATTAGGAAGGTACAGGGTAATCCTCGCTTCGTTTCTTTGCACTGAAGATTCTCATCATCATGTCAAATGGGTGCTCTGAAAACATTTTTAATAGCTTTATCTCGCTTTTAGGATCATTTTGATATAAATTTTGTGCGTATCTGTGTCCAATTGATGACAAACGACTCCTCAAAGCAGAAACATGCCATTTTACTTGGTGAGACATGCATGTCAAAATATGAACTTGCATTGAATTCCTCCAAAAAAACGACAAACAAAAAAAAAAAAAAAAAAAAAGACATCATCAGCAATTCATAATCGTCCACTGAAAAATCGAGTAGATAAGAGTATACAGTATCAGTCAAACCAAGCATCACACCTCACACAAGGCTCACACTGACCGTCGCTCGGAGCATTTGGGGCGCAACGGCGGGATCCGTGCGACGCGGCTGTGTGCTCCGCCTGCATGAATCACGCACTGATCCGCCTCGTTGTATTTTTTCCTTGTTTCTTGGCCAAAAAAGACAAGAAAAAAAAAAAAAGAGGTGGGTCCAACGAGATCATGGCTTAAAGGTCCTTCTTTCACCGCAAACGCCTTATTTTACCTTTTTGACGACGTGAAACTCCAAAAAAAAGAGCAAGCAATTCGCTTTTTTTTTTTTTTTTTTTTTTCAAGCCATGACGGATATCCACGCGCCCAAGGTGCCCAAGGTGCCCAAGAAAGACGAGTCGCCGACCAATTATGCGGCGACGAGCACGGACGATCCCTCGGTGTTGATGTGGGAAGAACAAGAGCATCTTGACAACCTCCTCAAAAGCGACGACGACAATCTTTTGCAAGGATTCAGTGTGTCTTCAGACGCCAAGCAGATGATCCCCAGCATGGGGCAAGAGTATCGGTATCGCGACAATGACGACGATTACAATCAATGGTACTATGACGAGTATTCGGGCCTGTACCGGCAGAATGCCCGCACCAATCAGGTGTTACTCAAACCCGTGGCCGACGCGTCCATGCAATCCATGATCAAAAGGGCGGCGGCACTGCCGGCCAAGTATTCAGACTCATCGTCGTCCGAATCGTCGCTTGCCCAGTCAAACGACAACACATCCACATCCACATCCACCACCACGAGCCAAACAGGTGACAAATTGGCATCAACGGGTGGAGCCAAGACATCCAGCAAGCCACCTTTGTTGGAGCAGCGTACGCGGTCGTCGTCATCGGCCATGGATGGCGCGTCAATGGCGCTCCAATCGGCGGTGTCGCCCAGCCGCCCGCGTTTGTCGCATGCACCATCCTCCAGCATCTCGTCATCGACAAACATGTCTGTTTCGGGCCGATCGTGCTCGGTGGCACGATCGCTGATTCTCCCATGGCCGGACACGCCGGCGCAAGTGTGTGAATGGGTGAAAATGGCCAAGCAATCTAAGAGTACGCGGCAATCGTTGCGTCTTTGCAAGAGTCTACTTGCAACGCTTGCATTTGACGAGACGGTCCATTGGCAAGACTATCATCACCGACCCACGTTGCGCGAGCAATCGAGAAAAACGCAAGGTCGGCCGTCCATGACGCTTTCGACGCGGTCTTTTTCAACGCGCAATATGACTGGCGACGCGACACGGTCATTTTCGAGCAGCAGTGACGCGGCGTCCATGATGTCGATGCCTTCGATGCGAATGGCTGCAGCTGCAGGCGACACGGCGTCGTTGGTGCACATGGACAATGCCAAGGAATTGGTGCGCCAGGCGATGATGCGCGAATGTCTCCAATTGCTGAAGCGTCTGAGCATGGGGCAAGGTATCGGTAAAGGCGGCGATCCCGAGGCGCAGTTTATGTTGGCCAATTGCTTCGGTATGGGTCTTTTGGGCCTTTTGGAGGATCACAGCAAGGCTTTCCAATGGTATACGCAGGCATCCAAGCAATCGCATGCCGAAGCCACGTATCGCACGGCGGTGTGCTTTGAATTGGGCATTGGCACACGCAAAGATGGTCAACGGGCGATGATGTTTTATCGGAAAGCGGCGCATCTTGCACATGTTGGCTCCATGTACAAATTGGGGATTATTTTGCTTCGTGGTTATTACAACACGACGCCCATGCCACGTGAAGCTATTAGCTGGTTGCAACGTGCGGCCAATCACCCGACCACCGTCTCTGGAGGATCGCAGGTGCTCAATGCGGCAGCCAATGCCTTGTCGTCCATCAGCATGGCCACTTCCAGCGACGATTTCGCCGCGGCCGCGCAATTATCGCAGCAACAAGACCAAGCACCTCATGCGCTGCACGCGCTTGCCATGATTCAATTGACGGGCGAAGTTGGTGACGCGACCAGTTTGATCAACGACCCTGCGTATGCAATGGAATTGCTGCATCAAGCGGCCCAGACTGGGTACGTGCCAAGCCAGGTGCAATTGGGCCGGTGTTACGAGCACGGGCAGTGGGTCCAGATGGACGATGCGCTGTCCATCTATTGGTATGCGCGTGCCGCCGAATTGGGCAATCCCGAGGGCTGTCTCGCCTTGTCCGGATGGTATCTCACGGGCTCCACGTCCAAGGGCGTCCTGCACGCCTCCGATCGCGAAGCGTACCTGTGGGCACGCCGTGCCGTCACCACCGTTGCGCTTGCCACAGAGAACGGCACCATCGCAAAGGCCCATTTTGCCCTGGCCATCTATACAAAGCGTGGCATTGGCGTCCCCAAGGATCAGACAAGGATGCTCCGCTGGATGCGCCGCGCCGCAGCACTCGGCCACACAGGTGCAAAGCAATATCTCGCCGCATACGAGGAAAAACGAGTCAAAAAACAGGCTGCACAGCAAACGGCGCAAAAACAACAGCAATTGCACCACCAAGCAAGCCGGCCCACAGACAATGAGGATGCACACCATGACACGCAGCGCATCAAGACCATCGTCAACACATCCTGCTCACTCATGTAGAAAAAAAAAAGACGCTTTGTATTGTATTTTACGCCATTGGTGATTTTCAATAAAAAAAAAGAAAAAACTTTCGTACAATAGTCACCAGGTTTGATAGGAGTGCAATAGGGTTGTGATCCCTGAAGAGCTTATAAAAACGCCATGAAAAAGTGCGTCTGTTGCAACAGATTTTTGGCAAGGATGCTTTTTGATGTAAAACGGGCACATTGACGCGTGTTGCTGCCATTGACACAAATCGATTGCATGTCTTTCGTCTATTTGCTCCGCATCACGCCACTGAACGGAGCTCTCGTTGCTCCTCTACGACATCCAGATGACACGGTTTTTCGTATATTGGGGAAAATACTAGCTTTTGTCAAAATTCACACCCAAATGATCTGGCATATCATCAGAAAGAGCGCGCCGTGACGCGTACATGAATCGCCGTGATCGATAAGAAAAACGAGCTCCGGGCAGAATTGATGCGAACAGATCGTTTGCGGGTCAACTTGGACGCGTGATAAAGCGCATCACACGTCAAGCTAGACGCGTCTGTTTGTAGTCAAATCCATGCATCTTGGCCATCTCTTGCCAGTGGACGCGTCGGCGCAGGTCCATGGGCGCGTTTTCCCCCAGCAATTCGCCGTTGAAATTAAACCTAAAATCATGAATTATTCGCCAGTCAGTAGACGGATCCCACTCTTTTTTGGCCTTTTTCGTGATTTCTCCCAGCGCTTCATATTGTGAGCAAGTTTGGCACGATTCTGAGAAAACCATGATTTTTGATTTTGGTTTCGAGGCCTTGCCACGACTAAATTTTAAAAGGCGTGTTTCGCGCCCTCAATTGACTTTTGGCTGGCACAAAGCCGCGTCCCACACGGTTAGTTTGGCCGACTCGTTCACGTTGGTGTGCGTTTGAGAGCTGGGGTACTTGATTGGAAAGTTGCATTGCTGGATTTGCCCCTGAAAGTGACCACTCTATATAAACGCGTCCAAGATACGTGTCCAACGATTCCCTCATTGGAATCAGGAAATCGTGGACGCAATGGTGGACGCGTATTCAAGCTTTTTTTGAGGCATTCAAGGCATCAAGCATTTAGCCCATTTTGGCCGATTCATCATCTCCATTGGCGCTTGTCACTTGCGCATTGACCCGGCTTGCCCAGACAAGATGAGATTGCCTTTTTTTTCTTTTCATTGCTGATGGATGACGCGTGTACTTATCGCGCCATTGGCGTGTTTGGAAAATTTCGTCATTTTTGGGCAGTCGAGCCCATTTGCGCGGACAATGAGGCGGTGCTTTTGACTCCCCTTTGTCTTTTGGTGTGACATGCTGAGTTTTTTTCTGCCTCCTTTGCCATCATGGGGTTCACAAGGAAAAAGCGCGTGGGGCCCCAATTGGGGCAAAAGAAGGGGGTCCGAGACCCGGGATCGCCTTGCCGCAGCCAAAGCGGACGCGCATTTGATTGTTTTTTTTTTTTGATTGTCTCTCCTGCGTGCATGCCCTGCAATCCCTCCCTGCACCGCCTTCCCACCCTTCCAAATAAATAAACTCGCTAAAAATATTATTTAATGATCAATTGGACGAGGATGATGACAGGGTATTGTAGGCGGGCTGGTGCGGCTCGGGTATGAGAGGCTGTTGCTCATCC